AGGTCAAGAGAGGTTCTCCTCCACCTCTACTCTGCCCTGGTGAGACCGCATCTGGAATATTGTGTCCAGTGCTGGGCCCCTCAGTTCAAGAGGGACAGAGAACTGCTGGAGAGAGTCCAGCGCAGAGCCACAAAGATGATGAAGGGAATGGAGCATCTCCCTTATGAGGAAAGGCTGAGGGAGCTGGGTCTCTTTAGCCTGGAAAAGAGGAGACTGAGGGGTGACCTCATCAATGTTTATAAATATGTAAAGGGTGAGTGTCAGGAGGATGGAGCCAGGCTCTTCTCTGTGACATCCAGTGATAGGACAAGGGGCAATGGGTTCAAGCTGGAACACAGGAGGTTCCACTTGAGTATGAGGAAAAACTTCTTTACAGTGAGGGTGACAGAGCACTGGAACAGGCTGCCCAGAGAGGGTGTGGAGTCTCCTTCTCTGGAGACATTCAAAGCCCACCTGGATGCGTTCCTGTGTGATCTGATCTAGGTGTCCTGCTCCGGCAGGGGGATTGGACTAGATGATCTTTCGAGGTCCCTTCCAATCTCTAACATTCTGTGTGATTCTGTGTGATTTTCTGCTTGGCTTGAGCATACCCAGGGTCTGACAGCATTGGGACCTCACAAAAAGAGCAAAAGTAGAGCTGCTGTCCAGGACAGCAATGTCCCTTTGCACTGGAGCAGAAGAAAAAATTTATTCAAAACAAGATTGATCATAGCAAAGTTTGAAATGCTAAAGAAATGCCAGCATCAGTCACTAGAGGGTGGTCACTGACAGATGTAACACCTTCACTTACCGGCACTGCAAACCTGTAGCTAGCAAGATGCTAGCTTTGTGTTGGATGAAGATGAAGGTTGGATGCTTGTTTGTCTTTCATTCTTTGTCCCAGTGCCTTTTTTTTTTTTTTTTTTTTTTTGTTTTTTCTTTCTTTTCCCAGTTCCTTTTTTTTTTTTTTTTTTCTCTGATAGTTCTTCTCTTCAGCCTTCAGCTTGCTCTTTTCATGCTCATACAACTCCACTGGAGCTCCCAAATGACCTGCGTTTCTGGGGGCCTGGAATCCTTTTGGCCAAGATCTCCCATTTCAAGCCTTTAGTCTTTTGGTCAATTCATAACATTTGTGCTGTCACTCATTCTGGGGATCAGGTTTCCTCTCCTGTACTCTGCTCCACATCAAAGATGATTTCTGCTAACACTTACACTGAGAACTGAGCTGCGAGGCTGGAAGAGCCCAGGTGTCTTTTATTGCCTCTTCCACTGACCTTGGAGCTCCTTCCTTGGTAAATGTCTGACGTGAGGGCTGGACCATCTGCTCCATGTTCCCCAGGAAGCTGGCGAGGGGAGTCAGTGATAAAACAGAGAGGTATTTAGAGAGGGAAAAGTCTCTGCGTGCTTCCAGGTAGGAACTGGGCAAAGGGAGGGGAATAAAGCATCCTTAGTGCTCAGCCAGCTTGGGAATTGAGCATTTCCTGAAAGAGAGGAGGGCTGGACCATGTTGCCTGTGGGATTGATGGCTGGAGAAGCCACACCACACTCTTCGTGGGGAAGGGGGGCAGGTGAAGAGTGGCAGCTCTTCCTTGCAAAGAGCATATAACCTGTGGGATGTGCAGCCTTTTCCTTGTTCTGCAGCTGCAGCAGCAAGGCCATGCAGAATGCTTGTGGGTAAAAGGATTGTAGGAGCACGAAGGCTCCCTGCAACAAGGGAACAAACTGTCCAGGGGAAGAAATGCAAGACTGAGACTCCACAGGAGTGAAAACAAGACAGCGTCCTGCCTCTCCTCTGTCTTCTCATGTACAAAGTCTTCCTACGGAGCTCTTGGGGAGCTGTGCCCAGAAGATGTCATCTTGCTGACAGGGGCCTGTCACACAACGGTACTTTTTGGTCTCACTATGTGTGCAGTCCTCCTGCACAAAGTACAGGAGCCTGACTGCTCTGCATTAATTTCAATGGTATCGTACAGGCAGTCCTACCTAATTTAAAATCTAGTCTTGATTTATGGCTTTCTACGCACAGGGAATCAACCACAAACCCGGTATGCATTTTCAGGAGTTTTATTACCTTCAGAATTAAACATGCTGAGCTTTATTCTTTTTATACAAGCTTATAATTAGAATCACATCAGCTTGCACCAAAGCTATCACTTACCGTAGTATGTGGATGAATCCTCTAACGAATAAAATCACTCATGCTGGACAAAACATTTCATGTGAAGATGCTGTCAGGTACACGATGTAGAGGTTCTGGCAGTGTTTCGTTGCTAGCTGCAGCAAGTCTGTGCTGTATCATCACTTAGATCCAGTCTAACCTCAGTGATAAAGTGGGTGTTTGTCCAGTTCATTGCAAGGGAATGTTTGAAGAGCCAGTGATACTGCAGTCTTGTATGATGTGGGAGGCTGTAGTAGAAACAACTAGTTTCAAGCTTTAGTTGTTTGAACACTGATATCTTAAAACCCTTTAAATACTGCCTTCCCTGTGCTCAGTGATTTGGGTCTGAGTAATGCTTTCTTTCCCTTGATTTCTTCTATAGAAGCTATCAGTGCAGATTTACCATTTCCAAGCAGGCCATATTTCTTACTCCTTTTCCACTTGCCCCTAACATAGATTCATCAAGTAGGATTTTATTTGCAATAAATAAAATCTTTTGAACAGGCATATCATTGGTAAAGGCAGGCACAAGCACATGCGTGTTCACTTTTGCTCACCCTAGAGCTTTGCACTGTCCTGACTGAAGCACCCCTGGTGCAATGCCGGGGCTCTGATTTCTGCCAAGCGCAGGGCTAAAGCTCAGCTGGGGGAGTCATCAGCAGCTTAGAAAGTCTATGTGGCGGCTTCTATAACCACTATGACCCTTTGGCTGTGCCAAGAAGCCATGCACAGGGACCTGTGTCCCTTACAGCGCAGCAGTGCCATGTCCTGCAGTGGTGGTTTGGGCGGGTGTCACTGGCACGGCACTTACCAACGGACTCCACTCACAGGTACAATGCTTGCAGTTACTTTGGTCATCAAACTATTGTGTTTAATTCTGCTTCCCCCCCCCCCCCCCCCGTAACTGGATGTTCCTTTGTCTTCTGTTTATGTCTAGGACCCAGAGACTGCAGGGATCTAGGCTTGGACCTCTAAGAAGAAACCTGGAGACTCTTTGCCACTGCCACCTACTGTTGCAGCATCTTTAAACACCAGGAAGAACTTTGGGGTTGTGCTTGATAGCATGAAGAAAAGATGGTTTGCTGGTTAAGGTCATTCAGTGATATCCACTACTACTACTATCTACGCTCTCTTAGTATTGGACAAGTCTTTGAACACGTGTCTCAATTCCTTCAACTGTAAGTAAGTAGTGAAAAAAACCACCCAAACAGTGACTGCTATGGGAAAACTTCTTTGTAAAATGAATTTACCTGCACAGACTTGCTGTGTAGCCATGAGGAACGCCTGCAGACTCAGCACACCCATGTCCTCAGTAGGAGAGGCTGTATCTTATTAATACCCTGCTCAGCTGCAGAAGCACATTTTCTTTCAAATATTCTTCTCTCTCCCACCCCTCAATGAGAAATACATTTGATTAGAAGGTGCAGAGCTTAGGGTAGAGACCGAGAAACTGAAAAGGTTTACCTGTATGTTCTGAAAGACAGAGCCATGCTAACGATAGTGGATAAAGGACAAGGTGGTGAGAGAGTAATTGCCCTCATACTTCCCTGAGTGTCTTAAAAATAATGAGCATGTACATATTTATTTTATAGAAGAGATATGAAGGCGCACAAAGATTACAGCTCAGATTCCAAAGGTCCGTTTTTTCATCCATCCCAAACATGGTTTGCATTGGATGTCTTTGGGAGGTCCTGCTTTAATACACTGGTTTGTGAGCATGCCCCAGTGAGCTACCTACAACTGAATGTGAGGTTAAAGAAACCCTTCTAGTCCCAACTCCAACAGTGACTAACAACAGATAGGAAGTAAAATATACAGGAACAAGATGAACACAAAATTATACGTTATCCTAACTTCAAGAGCTTCTGCCTCTCAGATTTCCTAAGGCAGAGGTGGGGTATTTATAACATGAAAGTCAAGCGCTTCAGCTATCAGTACTGATACAGTTTATTCCCGGCATGCAGAGACACAACACTTCTAAACAAACACTGAGTCCAGGGCTTAAGTAGGTGCATTAGAATAAAGTGAGGACTCAAACACAGAAACATAGTAATGTCTGTCCTGTAGCAGAGAAGGAACCAAGTACATAACTCCTATGCCTCAAAAAAAACCCCCAAAACCCACCATGGCAGGTAATTTTAGGTCTGCTTCTGGTTCTACAAGTCAGCATTTTCAGGCAGATGAGATCCTGTGCCATCAGGTTCCAACATCCTTCTGCAGGACCTGACCTAGAACCTTGCAGCAGCAGCAGCTCCAAGATTTCTCTGTTCAATGATCCTAAATGCAGCTGTTCTCAAGGGGGGATACCAAAGACCTCAAAGCAGGTAAGAGGAAAGACACTGCCAGGAATCTGCCACCAGCAGTCTTTAACTTTCCTACAGGAAAGCTGGGAGCTGCTGCCAACATCCACCCAACTCAGCTGTGTCAAAGGATCCCAAGTGGGCTCAAATACAAGACTCCCATATGAAATTCTTTGATAAAAACTTGGCCTCTCTCTACAGAGAATCATCAGGAAAGAATCTGGAGGGGACATCGAATCCAGGGGCTCTTCTTGTGATGAAAAGACAACATGGAATGCTAAAACGCTTCACCTACCCGTGCTTGATAAAGTGAGATCTATTAAATACACATTTACAGAAGTTTTTATTGCACATTCTAATTAATTTACAATAAAATATAGTAACTGCAAATCCTGTTTTCCTCCATCTCTCTGGTACAAAGACCTGCAAATAAACAACTCATTTTAGGAATACATATGCCAATAGGTGTATAAACAATTTAATTGTTAAATAGCTCTTCTACTGGCTCCTTCCCGAAAGTCTGAAAAATAATTAAAAAGATCACAGCATAGAAATATCTTTTTTTAATATTTTGTCTTATTGGAAAAAGGGGTCTGTGCTTGGAAGAACAACTCAGGAGACCAGCCAGTTGCCCCTTCCAATATACCCATTGAGTAATTTGCACTTGAGAAGAGATTCTTGCCTACTGAAGGGGAACAAGTTTCTAGGACTGCATCATTTAAAAACAGGGCCTTGGTAACACCTGCAGATACAGGAGTTGTTAGAATCCTGGCTGTATCCCCAGAGTTTAATCTCTCATTTCTGAAGCATGCACCATTTTCACTATTCTCTTTGCTTTCAGACATCAGGTTCCTGTCAGCGTGCCCACAGGTTGATTTCAAGTCAGCAGCCCAGCGAACTGTTTTTAAATTTAAAGATGCAGTTGGTTTCAACCTTTTGTTTGCAGATGGAGGGATCCACTCCTCAAAGCTGGCAGGTGGTTGGCTGTCAAGGAACTGCTGTGAAACAGAGATATTACTTTCTTTGTCTTCCCTGTCACTTGGCCTTTTACATTTCACTAGCCTGCCAGTAAGCTTCTGCAGCAGAGTGTTTTGAAAGGAAGACCTAGATCGCTTGCATTTGGAATGGATTTTAGTGGGATTTTTAGGGGTGAAGAAAGTGACAAAAGAGCTTCTTTCCCCAACAGGCGACAGTTTCTGGAGAGGTTTTGTCATAGGAGTCGACTGTGAATAAGGAACAAAGTCTTGAGCACTAACTGAATTGCATTCTGAATCACAAAAGGTGTAAGTTAATGGTGTACTGTGCTTACTGAAAGCAGGAGGGGACCTATGTAGGGATGAGCTCGGTTTCAAACTGTTAAAGGGAACATCTCCAGGATAAAGCACCAATTCAGGAGCTGTGACCTTTTCTGTCCAAGTATCTTCCTGTACTAAAGAATTACATGATTTATTTAAGAATCCTACAGGTTTTGCTACCTCTCTTGCACTTGCATCAAAGAGATCAGCAGAAGCATTGTAGGAGCCTTCAGGGAAGCTATTGTTCCACAGCATCTCTCTCCTATTAACACTTTTGAAGGTATTTTCTTGCAGTTCTGACAATAGTTTTAATTCTCTTTTATATATCCTTCTTGTAGTGTTGGGAGTTGCTGGATCAGAGTCCCATGCCCCTGGGAATGTAAGATCTGTTCCTTGGCTTGGTGTAGAGGAAGAATTTTCTTTGTTTCCACAACCAGCTGAACAGCTATCATGTACAGAATGCACACACGTAGGTGCCTTGCTCCTTTTTAAAGAGGAGGTTTCTCCATGTTCAGCAGTACGTGGCAGACTAATAAAAGACCAAACTGACTTTGAAGTGTCAGTATTCGCTTCTTTGGACTGCACGTATCTGCTCTCAGAAACAGAAGGCTCTGAGGTAACTGGCAAGGACTGTGACAGAAGAGGTAGATCAGGGTTAGGTATAAAGCACCTTGCTCCACATTCCTTGTCAGTTGAAGATAAAACACTACAGGAAGACTCACATTGTGACACCTCATCACTTGGAGGATTTGCGTTCGACTGAAGACAAGCAAACAATATGTTCTCCCAACTATCATTCTCTGCTGGTGGCAAGAACCTCCCTGAGATGCACACTTCAGGCAAATCACCAGCTGCTAGGGTTTGCCTGGGATATGATTTATTATTTTGATTTACACCCAACTTGCTACCTTCAAGAAGGGCATGTTTGCCTGCATCAAGGCTGGGTGATGTTACAACACTTTTGCCATCTTCTATCCTGGCTAAAAATTCATTTAGGCTTTCTGAGAATGGGAGCTCATCCCAAAGCATAGAGGCTGTCTGAGACACTCCAGCTACATTTACGTGATGAGAAGCGGAGGCATTTCTCTTGTAAAAAAGGGAGGTGGGGGATTTTGCTGGGTGAGAATTATTTCTACTATTAGTCTCTGGGTAAATGCTTTTTACCCCAAACTCCAATGGATGTTGTAACAACCTGAAACTGTTTCCATGTGAACACTCAGTCTTTGAAGAGGATACTCTCTCTAATTTATCAGTTGCAGAGATACTGTCTGTCCAACCAGGCTGTGAACTCAATTCATTATCCCCCTCTTTATCCCCTTCCTTCACAGAAGAGCTGCAAAACTGTGAATTGCAAACAGTTTGATTGTTGAGGCTTACACTGCACGATTCTGCAGAGACAGGCCTCCCCTCTTCTTCATGCTGTTCACTCACCAGCTTTCCCACTTCCAGAGTGGGAAAGTCTTCCGCTGTTACCCAAGCAACAGATGAAGTCAGGCTGAAGGACTGCTGCCAGGACCCTAAAAAACTTTCTCTGCCATTAGACTGAACAAAACAGGAGTTTCTGCTCAGGACAGACAAGCTGCTGAGCTCACTGACAGGTTCATCTGTTGGAGCTGAAGATGCATCAGGTAAGTATGGGCTGTTATTACAGCTCCTGAATTTTGCTGACTGCAGAAGCTGATGAAAGTAGCTGATAACAGTAAAGCCAGTAACAGCAGTGTTTGGCAGGAAGATCTGGCAAGCTGTAAGGTTTTTTGTACTTCTATTAATTCTGGAACAGTTTTGCAAGATGCTGCTGGCAGCAGAACACCCTCCATCTTTACTTGCACGACCCTGGGGGTAGAAAGAAAAAAAAAATTAGTACAATGCTTTATTTCCTGATAGAAAAAAAAAAATAATGCATGTTTTTTAAGTCAGGCTTAAATTTAGGTCTCACTTTTTGTCAGGATCTGCAGAGAAGAGAATACAAAACAGTCTGTCACACAAAGCAGCACTCCCTGGGAAATAAGCACTGGCAAGGGCTATAAAGGGCATCACAGTGAGAGGTTCTTTGCTTGTTGCAATTACAGAGAGTTTTGGAGCTGGAAAAACAACTAAGAATTCTAAGAAAGGACTTCACAGAAAATTTCTTCCTTCCTGTAGGGCACTGGGTGCTTCCAGGCTTCCTCCAGTGCGGTTCTGTGCAAATGGCTAGCTGCCTAAGGCTAGTGCTTTTCTTTTCTCTAGGAGGCACTGGGCAGTACTTGAAGCCAAGCACTCTGGTACCAGATACCTGACTTGGCAGCTCAGCTATCAAAGCCAGTGTGATATTTTCTATGCACTACCTCTGTGAAAGGGAAATAAGCTACAACCTTTATCTTCTTAGAATTATTTGGAGAGTAGTGTTGTCAAAGGAGCTCCAGCTGCAATTCTTTATAGAACCCGCTTCTCTCTACAGAGAAATTACAGGCGAAAAATTACATTAACCGCAGAGGGAATTATCAAATGTTTTGAGAAGTGGATAAACCCTTTTTCAGCTCCCCCTCAAGGTCTGGCAATGCCACGGAGGCCAAAAAAACAAATATAGCTGTCTTCAAATTCAACAACCCTCCTACTCCCTGAGTCTACGCAAAGATTAAGGCTGAAGGCTGTTAGCCAAGGACAATACCCTTCTAGGTAAGATTTTTTAAAGTGTGTTATGTTGATTCTGAGTTTTATCTGGGAGATTGCAGCTGTATGCACAGCTGAACCCAGAAATTTCTACAGCCAAAGGCTGAACAAATGGTCTTTGAATATGTGTTCAGTCCCTTGTGTGTGTAAGCAGCAATAAGGCTGTTGATATGTAGATTTACTTTTTTTTTGTAAAGGCATCAGACCTAGACACCTGGTGAATGGTTCCAGTTAAGTAAAGCTGAAGTCCTCCAACTTTCATTACTTAAGATGCTGTGCATCAGGAAAATCTCAACTCAGATACAAACCTCATAGTACCTGTGGGAGAGGAAAAACACCTGACAGGTAGGATTTAGTTCACAAACTTCATAACAGCAATGACTCACACAAACACCACTTGAAGAAAACTTAGAAGACTGTTTCTATGGAAATATTAATAAGAACCTGAAGGGGGCCTACAGGAGAGATGGGGAAACACTCTTTATCAGGGAGTGTAGCGACAGGACAAGGGGTAATGGGTATAAGCTGAAAGAGGGTAGATTTAGACTAGACATTAGGAAGAAATTTTTCACTGTGAGGGTGATGAGACACAGGCACAGGCTGCCCAGAGAAGCTGTGGATGCCCCATCCCTGGAGGTGTTCAAGGCCAGGCTGGATGAGGCTTTGAGCAACCTGGGCTAGTGGGAGGTGTCCCTGCCCATGGCAGGGGGGGTGGGACTCGATGGTCTTGAAGGGCCCTTCCAACCCAAACCATTCTATGTTTCTATAACTAATATTTCAAAGTCTGTTAAACACATAAAAGAGGCACAGATGCATATGTTGAACAGCTGTACTTTATCAACATTTTTAAACATCCCCTTAAATCCAGAAATATCAAAATGCTACAAGGGGACGTGTTTCTCCTGACATTTCAGACACCAAGAGACTATGCAGCATGGGAAGGGTAGGGCAGTGCTTGAAAAGACAGTCTGTTTCTTGCTTGAACTGTACAAGGTTTTTTTACAGACTCCAAGCTGTTACTGATATGTGCAGGAGATGGCACTGCTCAGGCTCTCCGAAAAGCAGCCCTGACAAGCTGTCAAGCTGACTACTGCCATTCAAGTTGACTTTTGGATGTGGCTCATTTAAAATAACACAGGAATCCAGGGAAGAGGAGCAGAATTCTTCCCATGTCCTAGCCCTAAATTTTCTCAGATTCCCAAAAGATGTTGCACATGATGCTTTGATAACTCAGTCTATGCTCCCAACTGCCTACAAGCTAATAAAAAAACCCATTGCAAGAGAGTAATATGAATTAAAAGTTACCTTCACTCCAAATATAAATCTTTTTCCAATGAAACAGGTTTCCACTGCTTGAACTAACAATCCTGGAGATGTATCTGCATTTGCTTCTCCTGACAGCTGATTGAAGTCTTGAATACACCTTGAGTAAAACCAAATAGAAGTACTGCACCAACAGAAGAAGCCTTACGTAGCATTTTAGCTGTAGTATAGGTGGGATGCTAAAGAGAAGATACTGTGGTAGCTTAAACAAAACATAGAATGAAAACAAGAAACCATGAACCTCTAAATTCAATTGTTTACTTCACTTAATTTGTTGGTGAAATAGAAGTAAAAAACCAACCAACTTTGAATAGGTTTAATTTCCACACAACCTTTGGGCGTTCCCTGTGTGGCTGTGATTTTTGTATGAACACAATGACTGCATAATGCTGTCAATATGCTGCTATTGCTTACACATCCTTTCTGCCCTCATCTTCACAGTGTGCATATTAAGACACACAAATAACTGTTTTTCACAGTTGAGAGTCGTACAGCAGTCTAGTGTAGAATGCCCGCCATAAGAA